AATTAAAAATAAAATTAATTAATAAAAATAAAAATTTACATTAAATATATAATTAAATCTAAATAGATTAAATGATTATTTAAATAAAAATGATTAAAAAACAAAATAAAAAGTCAGGCAGAAAAGTGCTCGAAAAAATAAAATGAACACACCAAAATAATTAGCGCGAATTAAACATATTAGAAAAATACAGCGTTTGGTTAGATTTTGAAATAAATTTAGACCGGTTTATCTGTAAATCCAACAAATTTATTCTGACTGACATATCAGACACTATGCAAGATGAAGCGCATGTTATGCTATGCAGATGATGCAAAACATAATCTTAGGGTCAAAAATTAGAGTATGACACAATCTATAATTCTTGGACCGTTTTTTTCCAACACTCATCTGTGTTGACTGTATTTTTCCAAAACTCGTCCTTGTTGACCTTATTTTTCCAACACTCATTCGTGTTGACCATGTTTTTCCAACACTCGTCCGTGTTAACTTTTTTTTAACACTCATCTGTGTTGACCGTATGTCTCCAACACTCATCCGTGTTGACTGCGTTTTTCCAACACTCATCATAATTGACCATATTTTTGTAGTACTCTTTCTGTATTGATCTTACCTTTTCTATACTCATCTGTATTGATTTCCAACACTCGTCTCTGTTGATCTTAGCTTTTCAATACTCGTCCATATTGACTTCTAACACTCGTCTATATTCATCTTACCTTTTCAATACTTGTTCGTATTGATTTCCAACACTCGTTCGTGTCTATATTACCTCTTCAATACTTGTTCATATTGATTTCTAACACTCGTCCGTGTTGACCATGTCTTCTAGTACTCGTTTGTATTGATTCACAACATTCGTCAATGTTACTCGCTTTTCATTACTCGTCCATGTTGTCGTACCTCAAAAAATACAATTCTTCGTGATAGACGTGAAAAAAATTAGTTCGAACAGAGTCGCCACTGAACTTTATTCATTCCAATAAAAGAATTGGAAAATATCGATAAAACGTTTAAGATAAGAAAATGGTCATTGCAACCAAATTCGAGTTTGGTAGTCGATTATGCAAATAGAAGGTATTGGCACCCCTCACGTCTGTTGTAATCAACGAGAACCTCTTAGTCTAATTTGTGATTGAATGTTAGCTAATGTTATTTGTTTTCTTCTAAGCAAATAATGTGAAAGGTAAGGGAAAAGAGTTTTGTTTACTAAAGGGAAATCAATGGTTTTTTATTAGGGTGCTCCCCAAGGATTGGGGGCCTTATGCCTATGTATTCTCATTGAGAAATGAGAAATCAGAGCATCCATAGTTCGGAGGGCTACAGGAAAAAAAGTTTTGGATAGATAAAAAGAAAAGGTAGTTTGCTAGGATCTCGCATTTCTGTGCCTACGTGCCCTCATAGTTCAATGAGGAAGTCAGAGCAATCGTAGTTCGGGGGACTACGGTTGGTTGGTTTGTGTCTTTAAATGAACAAGTCTTTAGATCGCATTCTAACAGCTAAACATTGACTTGTATGCTCACTAGGGGAAATTGAAGCACTAGTTTATATACACGATAAAAAGGACTAAACAATGTTTTTTGAGAAAAGTTGTTTGATCGCACGGGGGCGAAGAATTAGTGTCTTGAGAAGTGTTAATCATACGAGGGCGAGAAAAGAGACTTTGATGTGTTGAATGTTTTATTTAGATGACGATTAATTGGATGGACAAGGAAGATTCCTTGTATCCAAACAATCAAAGAGAAGAATCGAAGGCTCGAGACTAACTCCCTTTACATCCTTTTTTTTTGAAATCTTGGTATCCGACCTTGCAACCGACTAATCCAAGGGGACTAATCCCACCGTCCACTAGCGGGGGCCCCGTTTAAAGCCGAAATATTATTCTGTATGGACTACCCCAACACAAGGATTGATTGCACCTAGAAGGAATCGGACCTGAGACCTTGAGAGGAGCACACTCTCAAGACCCAAGCCTCCAGCACTAGGCCAACCCTTGGAGGTTAACTCTCTTTTCTTCCTTAATTGTGAAAGAGTTTGATATGATTAGAGTATTTTAAGCGGATGAAGAATACTCAAATGGCAGAGGAATGCTCCTCGTACCCAAGTATTTGGGAGAGAGGATAGAAGGCTATAGACTCTCTATTTTTCATCTAAATGCTTAGAAAAAATAGGCTTGTGGCTTGAAGGTTTTGCTAAAGATATGAAACTTCAAAGTCGAGTTATCACTGTTAAATGTGATAGTCTGAGTGCAATACACATGTCAAAGAATTTAACCTATCATGAGCAAATCAAGCACATCGATGTGAGGCTGCACTTCGTCAGATAGATAATTAAGCGTGGAGAAGTCCAAGTGTTAAAGGTTTTGACTAATAACAATGTTGTTGATATGATCACCAATACATTATCGAGTAGCAAGTTTTTCCACTATACGCAGTTGATAAGGATGCATGATAAAAACTAGTTTGTTCCCTTGTTAGTGTAAAGTTTGTTCTAAGGTGGAGATTTGTGGTATTTGGATCGAACTCTAGTGTCGACAAGGGTCGTTTCATTGTTCGACAAGAGTTGTGCATGCTGGAATGGAAGTTTGTTCAAGCATGTTGTCGAAATATGTTAGCTTTGTGTTTAAGTTAGCATATCGAATTGGGCCTTGCTTGTAAGGCCAATTGTTAAGTTAACTTGTAGCCTAAGTTAGCTTAGTAGTCTACAAATAGACTAGTTCTCTCAGATTATTGTGATGGGTTAATTATTGGTATTCACTTGTAACCTTTGAACCCTTATTAAGTAAGGAAATAGTAAAACAATTTTAACCAATTCTTATTCTTATTTTTCCTTCTTCTTACCCTTTTGTAAAACTTAATAGGGTTTCTTGTGTTTGTTCAATAAACTCAATCTTTTTCTCATATTTTAGTTTGTTCTTGATGACATCAATTCATAACATGGTTCACTCTATCCTTTTTCTAATCTAGTGATAATTAGTCGTCACATAAAGAAAAAATGAATGTGCGCACGCGTGTGTGTGTGTGTGTGTGTGTGTGTGTGCGCGTGAGAGAGAGAGAGGGGGGAGAGAGAATATGGATCAATTATTGATATTAGTTCGTGGTAGAATTATGAAAGAAAATACATAAATGATTTAAATTAAATCTATGTTTATAAATAAGAAAAATTGTGTTAGACAGGATCATAATTCTAAGATATCATTAGAGCTTATTCAAGTACCATTAAAAGTTTATGTTGATGGAATTTTGGCAAATTCAATGTTGCATTGTTGATGAAATGGCTGTGGAGATTCATGTCGGATACCAATGCAATCTGGAGATATATTTTAAGTAGTAGGTACGGGAATCTGGCTCGGAGGGTGTTGTTTTGTGATACAACAGTAAATTCTACTATGAACCCCTGTGTTGGAGGGATTTATTGGTGATTAGGAACCGGTGGAAGGTTTTGAATTTATCAAATTAGTATCCTGCAAGCTGGGTGATGGTCGTTCTGTTCTGTTTTGGTCCTCAAAATAGATTGGCCCGATCCTCTTGATGCTAGCTTACCCGGGTATGTATAAAATTGCAGAAAACAAACATTGTGTGGTGGCGAAAATGGGAGTCTGGGATGCTGGGTTTTTGAGGTGGGATTTCGCTTTTGTTCAGTCTGGCTGAGGTAGGTCCGATTGCAAGTGAAGTGGATAGGTTTTCATGGCTAGCAGGGAGCAGTAATTTCTATACGGTTAAGTCGTGCTATGATCTTTTGTCTAAACCGTGTTGCTTGACTGATGTTGAGGATGTTCTAAAAACTGCGTTGGATCTCCTTTGGTCGACAAAACTGTCGTTGAAGCTGAAAGTGTTTGGCTGGCGCTTATTCCTTGACAGACTCCCCACGCGAGCCAACCTTGTGGCTAAAGGTATGTCTCTTAATATCCATGAATCCGTATGTGAGTTCTGCTTTAATTCGGAGGAGGATATCATACATGTCTTTTTCAATTGTCCTATCATTAAGATTGGTTGAGAAGTGTCGACAATCGTCTGTTTGTTTCTTCTGGTTTATTAGTTGTTGGTGCATTTGGTGGTCGCGAAACCAAATCCTTCTTAATAATGATATAGGTAGCGTTGATGACAATTTTCAAAGAATCATAGTGGTATCGTGGAAATGGCAGATAATTAGGAGTCGCAACTCTGTTGTAATTATTACGATTGGTATAAGTTGCCTAGTGACTTCATGTAGGTTTTTTTGTTATATGTAGGCTCATTATTCATGTAGACTATTTATGAGATGTTGAATTGTTACTGCGACTCTTGTTGCAGGGTGGAGACTTCTTTGGTCTCCATCCCATGATAATATATACAATTCTTGCATGTAATAATAATATATATATATATATATATATATATATATATATATATATATATATATATATATATATATATATATATATATATATATATATATATATATATATATATATATATATATATATATATATATATATATATATTCGGATAACCTATTATTTATATCCACACACCATCTTCAAAATATTAAGTGTGATGAGATGTGTTTAAAATCTCACAAATTCTAATATATAGTAAAATGTTAGGAACAACGAGTTAGAAGACTTACCCTCCTTAAAAGATAGCTTCTTCAGCACTTGAGTTATTGTTATCTCATTTTGTTACAAATCAACATCTCTCTTGTACGTTATCGTACGCATCTTCCAAGTAAATTCTATTTCAACAAAACTAATAAAGTAAAATTAATTAACTATTCGTAAAAAGTTTCAAATCTCAAGCGGTCAAATCAAAAAAACACAACTCATCAACTACATTTATTTCAATTTTTATAATAGATAGTTGTAGCTCAAGTGTCAACGGTCAGCATTGTTGGCCAAAAAGTTTTATGTCTCAATCTCTGCCTATATATATACGCTACCTACCATCTCTTCCCTATTCACCAAGTTTCTCTTTTTTCTTTCTTCTTTTACAAAACACAACCTTTCTTTTTCATACACCAAAATGAAACCTACTTCAAAATTGCATGGTTTTAATTATGATCAACAAAAGATAAACCTCAATGGCCCTCGTCCTACACCTTTGATGATTCGCAAGCCTAATTCATCACACAAACAGCAAAGGGTTCCCATCATCATATACACTCAATCACCAAAGATTATTCATACAAAAGCTCAAGATTTCATGGCTCTTGTTCAAAGACTCACAGGCATGTCCACCACCAATCAAGTACTGCCACGTCAGCAAGAGGTTTCTGAGAATTTTGAGTCATCTTTGTCAGAGGGATCAAACAATAATAGCATCAACTTCATACAGCAGGAGGGTGATGAAAACTCAGTTGATAAGGGAGGTGTGAATAGCAATAATGATAATGATGATGAACAAAGCCCTAATAATATGATGAAATTTGCTGAGATGCCATTATTCACTCCAACTTCATATGATTTCTTTAGCCCAAACAATTCATCTCGACCAGTTTATAAATTTTCTGATTCTCCATATGGAATTTTAGGAAGTCTGATATCTCCTTCTGGATTGGGATTCATCCAAGACCTACCTGAATATTAGGTTCATGCTATATATTAGTAATTTTTGCATATTTATTTTTGTAAAGTTTCTTGTATTATGGACATAAGAAATTGTCATGAATTACTAGGAGATTTAATTCATTCTTTCAGAACATGCGAATACTTAGTACAAGATTACCGGTTAATTATTTGAAATTTGTTACCCTAATTTCATTTCCTTCTTGTATTCTGTTTATTTTCATTTTAATTTCTTTCTCATTATAAAAAATTATACAGTTAAAAATCTCGTATCAAACAATATATATCTCTCTAATATCATGTTACAATTGTAGTTAAGCATAATTCTATTTTTTATATAACCAGTTCGTAAGGTAATAGTTGCTCTAATATCTTCTGAATATATATATATATATATATATATATATATATATATATATATATATATATATATATATATATATATATATATATATATATATATATATATATATATATATATATATATAATTGGTGAAATGGTGGAATCCATAAAAATAATTCAACAGGCTTTGGAAGGAATTCCAGGGGGACATTCCATCTTCTGAAACCAAGATTTTGGATGTTATTTGACGCACAATAATCTCGATATGTCTATTATGATGGACCATAGGTGCGATGATTTACTTCACGGGCGAGGTCTCTGGTTCAAGTCCAGGATGGTTCAAATCCAATAGTAGGTAAGGTATTGGTAGAACTTAGTAGATACCATATATATATATATATATATATATATATATATATATATATATATATATATATATATATATATATATATATATATATATATATATATATATATATATATATATATATATATATATATATATATATATATATATATATATATATATATATATATATATATATATATATATATATATATATATATATATATATATATATATATATATATATATATATATATATATATATATATATATATATATATATATATATATATATAAAGCTTTTTCCCTCTCACCAACCCCTAAGCCAGATAGTGGTAAAAGAAAGAGAGAGGAAAGAAGGAATATATTATGAAACCAAACAAACCATGAAAATGGATCGATGTATTTCAAGCATATAGTTAGTCAACGCTAAAAACAACGTGACAAGTTTCATGGATCAGTGTCTGGTTTTGGTATTTTTGTCAACTTGTTATTATCTGATTATGGAATCATTTTTGATGAAGAAATGTACCTACAATACAAGAGCAAAAGTCAACTTGTTGCTTATATCATGCCATTTTTATAACTACAGCTTGAAATATTTTATGGTTGAATTACTAATATTTAACATTTGGTTGAAGATGCTATTGTCAATTGATTATATAGCACGCCACCGGCAAAACCTCCATTTGGAGTATATATATTAAAGCTTACGTTTCATCAAAAATGTCAATAACAGAAACAAAAAAAAAAGTTTTAAAACGTTTGGTTATGGTTCGACAAACATGTTAATCGGTCTTTTACTTTCTAATTCATTTATGGTATATGTTCCATAATAGAATTGGAAATCATCGGGGAGTGATGCTAAGTTTATCATGAGTTTTAAAAGAATTATCATCAATACTATGCGAATAGGAGAATTACATCTCAACTATGGAAATGACTCATGTCTAAATTTTATGAAAAGTTTTAAAAGAAAAAATGCACAAAGACACAAAATAGTTGAATGAGTTTTTGTATTTTTTTTATGTCTTTTAAAATGGTTTAATATGCTTAAGATTCTTAGCATTTATTAAAGAAAAGATTTTGAAAATACACTTGACGAAGTCAAGGTTTATTAAGAAAAAGATTTTAGTTTAAGAGATGAAGATTTTTGATAAAGGGAGAAAACTTTGAAAATTTAAGAATGGAGAAGAGACTATCCTATAGCATAAAATAAAGTTGGGGACAAAGAAAGATCTAACAAAACAGAAGATAGTAAGCCCCATGACATAAGTCAATCAAGAATTTCTTCCTTTGGATCAAGCCTCAAGCAAGCCAAATAAGCAATAACAATCTAAGCAACAAATGAAAACAATAATAACCAGAATGAGCCTTCAAGATAATTCTTAAGCCAAGGTGTTGCACCCTAAAATTTGACCAACCGGGTCCCGTATCTGATTCGATGTTTCGACGCATTTCGCATTTCGCATTCACATACTGCATATAGTGCATTTTCTCAATCATGGTGATTTTATCGGGATTACAGCCCTGCTGTCGCATTTTGGGTATTTCAGACCGGTGCAGATAATCGGAGGTTATTTTGGAAAGTCGCGCGCTTGCGGGGTGTTTTCAGCTCATGCAGTGATTTTTGAGTTTTTTGGGGTCCGGGTTACTGTTTGCTTCGATCTGGTCTCGCGCTCTCTTTTATATTGGTTATTTGCCTTTGTTTGCATTTTTTAGGATTTAATAGCCTTTTTATAGATTTAAATAGATTTTTATATTTTAAAATAGGCTTTATAGATTTTTTTTAGAATTTAAATAGATTTTCTTTATATTTTTAATAGCTTTTAAATGTTTTTAGAATAATATAGAATAATAATGGATTTTTCTTTTATTAGTTTTAAATAGATTTTTATATAGAAAGAATATAGATTTTTCTTTTATTAATAATAGATTTTCTTTTATAGGATATAATAGTTTAGATAAATAATATAGGTTTTATTAGAGATTTAATAGAGATTTAATAAAAAAAAATTAGATTAGAGAATTATTAGAGTTTTATTAGTTTAGGAATTAATTGGAATTGTTAGGTCTTAATCTTTTGTTTAGTTAGTTAATTAGGTTTAAGGTCTTTAATTAGTTCTTAATCAGGTTTAATCCATTTTAATCCATTTCAATTCAGTTTTTGGGTTTTGTATTCAATTTTCGTATTGGGTCCAGTTTGCTTTTTTTGGAGGCCCATTTCGTCAGAGTCCAAAAATCATTGCCAGCATGTTCTATAAAGTCCAGCCACGTGTTGCACCCAGGAAGAGGACACATATCATTATTTCCACGCAGACACATCACTCACTCCTTCTCCCTCTCTCTGCCACGCCCCTCACCACGTGTCTTCACGCATGCAGCTCCCTCTGCCACCCATCGCCACGTGTCCACCGCGGAGTCTCACCGGTAACCTCCCACCGGCCGGCATGCAAAATCCGCCGGCCACCGTAACTCCCAATCGCCGGCCACCACCAACCAACTCCGGTAGCCGTAACCTCCTCCCTCCGCCGTGAACTTCACCGGAAAACTGGAAAACTCAGAAATCTTCATCATGTCTTCCGATCTTCATCTTTCTCCTCTCATCAATACTTTCAACCGATCATCATCTCCGATCATCATCATCATCATCGGTGTTCATCTCATCACCACCGAGTTTGCCATTCTTTCTTCTGGATTCAACAATATCATCAACAACGTTCAACGTCTTCGAAGAATATTCATCAACCTTCCATCATCTTTCCAGAATTCTTCAACCTTCCATCATCTTTCCAGAATTCTTCGACCTTCCATCATCTTTCCAGAATTCTTCAACCTTCCATCATCTTCCCAGAAATTCGTCCAACCATCATAACCTCATCTGAGTTCATCAACGTTCATCAATAATCACACAAGCACCAACCAGCACCAGAAACTCTTCAAGAAGGATCCAACAACACGTTCGTCATCATCCTTCAAGAACGACCTCCATCCACAATTTTTCCAGATCCGTTCGAATCTTCAACATGTCTTCAATCGCCCATCACCAGTTCGTTATTGTTCGTATTCAAACAATCACCGTTCTTCACCCTCCAAGAGCACCTCCAAGGGAACTCAAAAGGGACTTTCACAATGATCCTCTGATTTATTTTTTCCAGAAATTACAAAGGGTTCGTCAGGCTCGTCAGAGTCAAGAATCGTCTTCCAGATCGAGAACTTTCGTCACCATCTTCGTCTTGGTGCTTCCTCCGTTTGTCCAGAAATCCACAAATCTGCGCGAGGATCTTCAAGATCCAGATTCACCAGGCGTTCATTACTTCAAGGACATTGCTCTTCAAAGCTCCTCCGGTAACACATCTACCTCCTTCACCTTCTCCAGTTTTTAAGATCGTCATAGTTGAATCTCCGTCAAGGACGTGGACCACGAATTCTTCAGGAATTCCTTCTAAGGTTGACAAATCGTGGAGTAGTTTGTTACTTTCCTTGGACACTACAAGATTCTACAGGTTTTGGGGGATGATAATGGGTCGTGAGTGAGATTGAAAGAGGAAGGAAGGACAGAGTTAGAGAGGAGTTGGAGAAGAGGAAACGGTCGAGGCGCAGGATGAACAGTGCAACGAAGAAGATCTAGGGTTTTGCTGTGAAGGGGGAAGGAGGAAGAAAGGGCTGCCAATTGGGTTGGGCCTCGAAGCCCAGTGGTTTTACTGTCTACACTCCCATTTCCTATTTCCTCACCACCCCCGTGTGTCACTTTGGTGAAGTTGGCCTGAGCCCAACATTTTCCTGGGCATGCACCCTGCGTTTTGGCCAACACCCCCCTCCCAGCTGTTTTTTTTATTTTTTTTTCTGAATTTCTTATTGGGTTGGGCCCAGTTTTTGTTACTTTTGCTAGCATACACCCCTGTATTCATGTGTACCCCTCCCCTTTGTATTTCTTTTTCTTTTTCTTTTATATTCATTTGTTTAGGTTTTAAATATTGAAAAAGAAATACCATAAAAAGAATATTGAGGAAAAAGAAAAAGAAGAGAAAATATTTTGATAAAAAGAAATATTTGAAAAATAGAAAAAGAAAGAAATGAAAAAAGAAGAAAATAGTTGAAAAAGAATAGAGGGAAAAATAGAAAAAATATTAGTGTAGATTTAATATTTTTTAGAGTATATTTTCTTCATGGATTATATTTTAGAGTAGTTTTACAAGTCCATTTGTTAGGGGACTTTTTACACTTTTAGAGATAGTTTTAAAAGTCCACTTGTTAGGGGACTATTTTCCATTTGATTATTCATAGGATAGGATAGTATTTCCTAGGAGTTTATTTTCAGTTCTCAATCATT